AAGTCCGGGGCTAAGGTGAGCCAGGACACTGCGCATAAGAAGCAGAGGGGTTCTGGCAAAACATACATGAAGCTGCTGCAAGCAAGCTGCCAGAAAGTTGCCAGAAGCATTGATCAGGAAGTAGACGCCACTCAGCACCTGAGGCTGTAACCATTCCAAGCCTTCTCTGCGCGTAATGCTTGCTCTCTATTGGGGTATGTATTGGGGTATATATCGGTTTAATATTGGGGTTATACAGGGATTGTATTGGGATAATGGAAAGTAAAGTGGAAACTACTATTTGGGGTTTAGGGTTTTAGGGTTTAGGGTTAGCTATGCCTCTCAATGGTACGGCTCTCTAAAGTGCTCGCTCAGCTAGCACTTGCATTAGTTTCCATGGTTCAGGGGTGCAGAAGGTCAACGAAAGAAGCCTAAACCTTACATCCTAAAGCCTGGATCCTGAGCCATAAGATGTAAATACTACACCCTGAATCTCCTACACCCTCAGGCGTGGGCTAGAATCTCCGGGAGGATCTTCACAGAGTTCAAGCCAACTCCCGCATAGAAACCGGCAAGACGACCTGAGCAATCAGGGGTCTGAATGGGTCGTGCGACAGGGGCCTGAAAATGGTGAATGAGCCTTTGGTTGAAGGCCATTTTTGTACCATATGTTCTGGAACAATTTTAGAAGCGGAAATATTTAAATGTCAATTTGAGACTTTTTTCCATGCAAACCAACATTTGGGTGAGGTCGGCCCAATCACTTGGGCTTCCACATTGGAGCTGAGGGGGATGTCAGATTCACGGTGCCCTATGTAAACCCTGAACCCTACGTTCTCGAGGGTTTAGTCTTGAAATTTACTGCTTAGGTTGAAAAGGGAGGATTTTGGGGGAGAAGCGTCGCACAAGATCTGCTTGAGGAAGAGGAAGTGAATTGGCACCGAAATAAATATGAGAATATAACAACTTGGGAAGCCATTATCTTGTTTCCCAAGAAAAAGAGGTCCCACCCCTGATGATGGGTATATTCATCTGGTTTTGATGAAGGGACACCCGCTCACCTCTACCCTTGCCCCGCTGACGAAAAGACCCGGATGCATAGAAATGAATCCCGAATTCGCAAACAACCAGCATGGACATGCGATTTCCATCAGGTGTCATCCGGCTCGTTATATCTCCGTATTGGGACAAAAAACGAAATCAAACTGTGTAGTCCATATTGGGCTTGATTATTTTAACGAGAAAGCGCGAACAATGAGTTATTCTATACATTAGAGATCGACAATCCCTCGCAAGAGTTTGTTCCGATTTCTGTGGCATCCTCGTGCCCCTTTCCGGCTAAAATTCAAAGGCCGAAGCCCTAAAGCCTGAAGCACTTGAACTCGTGGGTACCTCTTAACATGAGAAGTCCTGCTTATATATATATATAGGTATACGTAAACATATATACATATATCTACCTACCTATATATATATATATGTATAGTATTTTCCCTTTCACAAGGACCGGGAGAAGAACACCCCCAATGTTTGCAAAACCCCGATCGATGAACCAGCAGGATATGGGCAGATCCTGTGCTGAGATGGGGGCGCTCGGCATACAAACTGCGGGCGCCTCGAGCAGTAAGTTTAGGGTTTAGAGCTTAGACCCTTATGGATTCCTTGAAGTCTGCAGTAACTGGCCCTGATGTCCTTCATGGATCTAACACATGGGTCAAATCTTGATATTCGGGTGCCCGTACATACCATGCACACTCTACCTGCTGAGGCAGGTCTATTGCAATATTACTCCTCCTTGAAAAGAGCCCTTACCAACTGGTTGGAAAAGTTTCCAACTCAGGGTCTGCACAAACGAAGCGACAACAGCATTTTTCCAGAAATTCTCATGTCCATCTGTCGTAAGGGGCAGGCACTCCCGCAAGGACGATGGAACGCTACTTCGCGGCCCTCAGCATCACGCAGTAGAACTGGTACAGCTATTGCTGACAATAGTGAGAAGCAGACTGACACCAACTGGCAGCTAGAAGACGAAGATCTGGAACAATTCTCCTCCTGAAGCTCCTACGCCTGAACTCCTCCTCCTCCTCCTCATCCTCCTCCTGCTGCTGCTCCTGCTGCTCCTGCTGCTCCTGTTGCTCCCGCTCCTGCTGCTCTTGAAGCTAGTACTTTATGACTGTTATGATTATTGCCATTCTCATTATTTGACTGTTAGTATTATGAATACATTAATATCAATATGAATATCAATATTGATATGAATATTGATCTTATCACTTGTAGTAATAGTAATAATCGTTGTCTTGGCCCTGTTCTGTCTGCAACGTGCCCTAAAGCCGAAGACCAAGCCCCGCACCTGCACAGGTCTGCTGCCACCTGAATCAGAAAGGAAAAACAGCAGGAATGAGGACCATAATTCTACTGGTTCTTAAGCGGTAATAAGGGAATACATAGAGTAATATAGGGGTCAGGGCTAGTAGGGAAGAAGGGAATCTAAATAATTTGACTGGAATGTATTGGATGTATATGTACCGATATTGGAAACAAAAATGGAAACTATTAATTTCAAAATGGGGTATATGCTGGGGCTATAGTAGGGAATAGGGAAATATACCATGTAGGTATATTCCCATGTTCCGTACTAAGAACCAGCGAGATGAAGACCATAAAAGCCCCAGTCATAGCAAAGCAACTAAAGACATAGGACATTAACGGAAGTACCGGTGATAATCTGTCATTGTGATGATACTTCAAGTGATATTTCAGGTGCACAGCCGTGGGGCTTAGTCCTGACGATTTTTGCGGACTAGGGTGTTGAGACCAGCTTTCCAGACAGAAGCAGAATCACGGTCGTGGTCGCCGTACGTTTCCGCATGATGCCCAACACGATTCATCAAGGCCACATTAGTTTCATGGAGCATTCGCTCGTGAACTAATAGATGCTATAACCTTAAGGCCTTCAGAGGAAGCACTCCTCTTGCCAGGGGCCCAGCTCAACGTGACAGTCAAGAGCATCAATCCTCTAATCCTTCGAAGGATGTATACCTTAGCCTGAAACCTTGAGGACTTAAGGAAGGATTCGACAAAGGAGAGACTTCAGCTCCAGCCGGCCTGCGACGCAGGGTGTCCAACGGATATGTGGCCTTGGACGACAGAAGTTGGGCACCAGTGTGTAACTTATCGAAGTCAGTACAAGATCACAGCATTGCTCCAACTGGCATCCCCCGGTTTTCTCTAAAACCATAAGATCCTTGTCATGGGCTCCCACTAGTATTGAGAAATTGCCATTTCAGTTGAGGGCTCGGCTGTTTGAGCAACTAGACCAGAGACGGCGCCCACAACCAAATTCCTGGCGAGACATGCTTTCAGAATTGGGGGGCCCGCTTGCGAACTCTAAGATATAAACGGGGATTTTGAAGGCATGATAAATATGGCTCTTGAGGATTACATCAAGGATCTCCTTCTAAAACCCTTTCTGAGCAATAATGAGAAAGCGCATCAACAACGCCGGGCATACCAGGGATACAGATGAGCTGGCGCCCCAGTTCGCACCAGCCAAAACAGGTCCTGGGCAGGCTACTCCCTTCCAGCAACAGAACATTGAACACCCGCCCCCCCCGCCCCCTCCATCAATTTTCCAAATCCACCCAAAATCATAAATGTAGATACAAATATACATATACATATATATATATATATGTGCGTGTGTACATATATACGTACGTATGCTTATGAGGCTCTAAAGAACCTGCATTAATAAGATACTCTTTCACAGGACAGCACCGGGCATGTGCCAGCGGCCAAACACAAAAGTCCTTGTGCGAAGCATCCGAGTATTTGTGGAACAGATGGGAGGGCTCACATTCAACAAAAGCCTGTAGCCTACTGTCAACTATTGTTGATGGACGAAAATCCTGCATGGCCCTAGATACCGAAATTCTAGCACCATTGGAAGTACTATGCTTCTTCAAGAAATGCTGGAATTAGAGAATATGATATATCCCCTCCATAGGCCCAGTATAACCCTCTTGTAACCCTTTAAAACAAGTTCCCTAACCCATAAGTAACCCCAAGGTTCCACAAAGTCGCATTTTGGTTTAGGATCTAGGGTTGACGGTTTGTCCACCCTAAACCCTAAACCCTAAACCCCGAACCCTAAGCTGTGCAGTCCGAACTTCCCCTGGCTGCGGCGCGTTGTGACCAACGTTCGGCCGGTGGCCCATCCGCTTCATCAGCCACGGAGCCAACAAGTCCTGGGTTTAGGGTTTAGGGTTTAGGGTTTAGGGTTTAGGGTTGGGCGGAAGGGTCTGGAAATTTAGGGGTTCCGTTTTGGGGGCTCCAATAAAAAGACGATAATATTTGGGTGAAAATTCTGAGGAACCCTACTTTCTGAAATCCCTAGTCCCTAAAACCTACTCCTCTAGTCCCTAAACCATAGTCCTTCAATCCCCCAAACCCTGATCCTTAATCCCTAAACCCTAATCCGTAATCGCTAAACCCTGCCCTGATCCTTAGTCCTTTTTCCCTAGACCCTAAACTGTGCCCCAATTTGGTGGCTTAGGGTTTAGGGTTCAGTGTTTAGGGTTTAGGGTTCTTGTTAGGATTAGGGATATTACCTCCCCCCAATAATGGAGAATCAAATGGAAAAGAATATTGAAAATGAAACAGGAATGGTTGGGGATTATAGGGGTCAGAGTTTCCCGAATTCAGGGCTGCCCTTTTGAGGGTTCCCAAGAAAAGGAAAGAAGTCTGTGGGTGTCTATTTTGGAGCCCCAAATTCCTGGAAACTAGCCTATGGGTACAGTTTGAGGTAAAGCTGTCGAGACATCGCGGCTGGAAGAAATACCCGAGACTATCTACCCATTCGGTGGATAGCAAAAATCTGCATGACCCGAAGTACCCTGAATCTTGCATATTCTGGGACCCTAGTATGCTAGAGCCACGAAGGATCTTAATATCAACAGTTTCACCTGCACCCCTCAAGCCGAAACCATCTCCGGCAAAATCAGCTGCTCCCAAGTGGCATGCAGGCCTGTTGCAATGCAGATAAAGGGGAAGGCCGTGAAGAGCCCCAGTGGGAGACCCCGATAGAGGCTGAGCACGCCATGCTCGCGCGCGGCAAGTCTGCAAAAGTGGAAGACTCCCTGGAAGTGACGTTTGCTTGCATTATCTGCAGACAAGCAGGTGTATGCTACATCCAAGGGGTACACCAGCGCAAGCGCCCCTGCGCCGGACATGAATAGAAAGGAGCACCTGCGAAGGTATCCTTCAAAGCCCTGGTAGTGGCGATCACCACCCGGCATGACCCACATTTGGGTCGTGCGAAGGGCACTGAGGCGGGCGACGCCACCCAAGCATGTGGCTGTCACATGGGTTGCAGAGCCACGCCAGAGGCCCCTGTAGCCCTGCATGCGAATAATGTCCCGAAAGTGCTGCAGCAGCTTGGTTCCCGGTGGCTCTCGAGGTACAGAAGCAAATTGAGTAGCCTGGGTTGCTGTTCAGGAACTTAATCCAAGTTACTATATGGGGGAAACCCCATTAGTTACCATACGTAAAAATATATATACATATATACACACATATATATATAATGACATATACCGTATACCCACTATGGTAACTTATTTTAAGTGCCTTAACAGCAACCCAGTAGCAGGTGCAGCAGGCACAGTCCCTACCTGCAAGCAGACCTTGACGCGCTCGATCGGTGCTGATGCCACTTTGGACAACACTCTGGCACAGCCATGGGCGGAAAGAGCAGCGAAAAAGAGCCGCCTATCCGCTGATGGATCTCCAGGAAAGCCATCAGACTCTGACATGCCAGCGCTTTGGCAGGCAAAGCCCAGTATGCCATGGGCTTCAGCATAATGTAAGTATGTGCCTAAATCCAGGTCTATCTATATACATGTGTATGTATACATATGTATATTATAGACAAGTTAGACATGATCCCCTATGATTCGTTAAGAAGATCCCTAACACAGGGCCTGAATCTTGACACATGCTGAAGTTCCAGAATGTGCATCACTACTGAAGCGCTTGAACCCTAGACCCTAAACCCTGTGCGCCTTTGAGCCTCGAATTGAATGCTGCGGAAGGGAATCACCTCTGAAAAGCCTACACCCCCCCATAGAAATTCATCGCAGGGCCTCCCCTACAGCGCAAACAGACTTGTACGAACATCCATATGATATGGAAATACTGGAAAAGAAAATGGAAACTACTAGAAATGGCTCACATGGACCAGACACCCAATAGACCCCCAAACCCTAAACCCTGAACCCCGATAGCAGGCAGACTTGGCGCACTTGGTTGCAGGCAAACGCCCTCAGCTGGAGGACCCTTCTCGACATCCCAGCCAGAGGGGATGTCGACAGATATGACCTGGGGTTTAGAGCTTAGGGTTTAAGGTTAGGCTTTAGCGTTTAGGTTTTAGGGCTTAGGGTTTAAGGTTTAGGCTTTAGGTTTTAGGGCTTAGGGTTTAGGGCGTAGGGTTTAAGGCTTAGGGTTTGGTCTACATGACTGTTCCCGCAGTAGGGGAAATTATGTAGGGACCCGCATAATAAGAACCCTAACAAAGGGACCCGTACTACACTGATTCTAGGAGCAAGTTTGAGAGGGGTAAGAAGTCCTACCGACGTTGATATTGAGAACCCTGCATGATCGTAGTGTACTGTCGGGTTTAGGCCTTACTATAATACCAGAAAACCCAAGGCATGAGGAGTATGAGGTACTTAGGGCCATCGTATGGGCCGGAATAGAATTGAGAGAGGGCCGAGACGGGAGAGGAATACTTATTAGTGCTTGAACCAAGTAAGGATATGCTCTTCTTACGAAGTACTATAAGTATAACCCCAAGGACTCTAGATGCGGGCTATAATATCCCCATTAACGATACTGATCACAGTGCCTAGCGGAAAGTGGGTAGCTTGACTCCTCTCAAACACGTCATGTAGCTTGGCTCCACTGCTTGTTTAGAAGTAAACACAGAACTGAAAATGCACAGGGTATTAAACTTTGCATGAAGCGCCATGCGGGGAATCCTTGTGTTGTGGAAAACATCTTGGCATCCGGCCAGCGGAGTGCCAGGCATAGCCAGTCTCCTCACATCTGAGAGCTCATGTCATGTCTCGATCAAAATAGGATCCACTTCTGCAACCCCAAAGGCGTGGGGTCCACAGAAAAGAAATGAAAGAGCCCATGCATTACAAACTCATCTATGGCAAGGATGCAGGACTGGGGGCATGTTCTTGCACCCCAGGATACTACTATTTCCAGGGATACCTTTTTTGGTGCATTCTTCCAACTTGTCCTCCTGTGTCGACCCTCCTACACCTCCATGCACTCTTGGTGCTTAAGGTGTACTGGGGGAGTGGATCCCGGTAGAATTCCCTATATGAGCCATAATCTAAGCTCCTAAAAGGGGATTATATAGGGGACGATTATACGGGTTATGAAGGGGGATACTAGGTTTCGACTATGGTTCATATAACTCCAGCATCTGCCCCTTAATGAGAAGCACATCCCCCACTTCCTCTTAGGCGCCAAGGAATCAAATCCCCACAAGTGGCGAAACCCGAAACCCTAAACCCTAAACCTAAGACTGCGCAGTCCTGAGCACATCATCAAACGGTGCCCGCACGGCCCCGTTGAAGGAGAAGCCAAACTGGCGAAAGTGCACGGAAGGAAGCTGAAGGCTTAAGAAGTCCAAGCTTGAGATCTTAGGGGTTTAGGGTTTAGGGTTTTAGGGTTTAGGGTTTTAGGGTTAGGGGTTTAGGGTTTAGGGTTTAGAGCCAGGATTTGGTGGCAAGGAGCTTCAGCTTTAAGCAGCTTAAGTATTTTGAACATAATGTCTAAGATTCTAATGGTTTAGAACATCGAACCTGTACTATTGGGGAACTGCTGAAGTCTTGTGCCACCTGGGCTCCCCAAAATGCAGTGATTCCTGTGGTTAGGTTTTAGGGTTTAGGGTTTAAGGGGGTATATGGCAGAAGAGGTGGTGAAATACACGGTCGTCTGGATGGTTAGAACAATTCTCCCACAAACTTTATGCCTGGGCAGCAGCTACGGCCCCTAGAAGTCGCAATACACCCCTTGTCCCATTTCCAACTTAACTAAGCATGCATACCTGAACCCTAACAATAAGTAGAATAATCGTCTTTTGTGCTGTTTTGAAGATTTCTGCTGTTATTTTACCTATTTTGGGGGTCGAGGTAAGGATAAGCGTGCTGGCAGCACGATGGCGTCCACCACCGCCAGGTATCCCTCAAAGGACTCCGGCAGAGCTGGATCCACAGGCACCTTCCATGGATAAGTTCAGGGTTCCTTTCAAGGGTTATATAGGGGATATATTGGGATACTGGAACATAGGATGGAAACTACTATTTAGCGTTTAGGGTTTGGGGTTTGAATGGGGTTACGGCTCAGGGTTAATGATCGCGTCGGTACACAGAGAGAGCCTCCTAAGGAAAGTTAAATGGGAACTGGGCAGTAAAATTGTGGCTTCATGCCCTCAATCCCGCATGAAATAACTGCCTTTCTTCAACAAAAGCCCTTTGACAAACAACAAGCCTTTTCGCCAGACCCTTCGGGCCCAAGAAACCAAAAGACATGTAATTGTTGTCAGGTAAGTAGAGTAAGGTGGCAAGATCCTTTCTCATGGTTTCCCTACCAACCCCTCTCCGGTTCCCCCTTGATTCGGGGGGGTTGAGGGGGTGCGGTAGTGGGAACCCATGAGAAACTGTTGTAAAGCAGGACTTTCTTCGTCACTTACACTAACGGGCCCGGCGAGGGGCGGTTTTGACTACAGACCCTACTGAGGACAGCTTTTGAGTTATGCTTCATTCACATTTGCTTCAGATTGTGAGATAGCATTGAAGATGGAGCCTTGTTGAGAAACATTTTGAGCTTAGGATGTTATTGTTGGAAAAGGGGCTTGCTACTTAAGCTGTCGGAAGCAAGAGCCTCATACAGGAACCTCTGAATTGGAGTAGAACCGTGGAGAAACCAGCCAGAGGCGCTGAAAGCTGTGCCAGCTGCGTGACCAAGTTCACCTGTACAGCCGATCTGCTTTAGGGAATAGGGTTTAGGGGTATGATTTGGGGATTCGAGGTGGGTTTTCAGGATTAAGTAGAATGTTTGGCTTGCAAGATCTACAAGTTGTTCAAAAGGCTTCCTAGAATGTCACAATGCTTGCGGGATTCTGCAGGAAGATGTCAACAAGAAGCAACGCACAGTCCTTCATGTTATGCGGTACTTTAAAAATGACCCCGCTACTCCCTGGGAATGATATCAGCCCCTTAGCTCAGAACGCTAGAAAGGGGACCCTTAGATTTTGGAAAACCTCATGTGGAAGTTTCCCTAAATTACTGTTCCCAAAATGGGGGAAACTTATATAGGGCCCCGTATTATAATAGGAACCTAAATATAGGACCCCGTATTGACAGTAATTTAGGACAATCCCCATGTGTTCTCGGACTGAATTATCCCTCAGGGGTAGTTCCTCCTGCTCGAACCAGCTGTGCCAACTGGCATGCAAAGCCTGCTCGACCCCTACTTCCTACGCACTAGCATTTGGGTGGTTGTCAAAATTATGGTCCCTTTTTGGATCCCTATTATAATACGGCACCTAATATTTAGGGTACCCAAAAAGGGACCATAGTTTTGACAACCACCCATTCAAATAGTTAGGCTATGGCTCACCGAGGTCATACCCGTAGCGCACTTCTGTCCGCTTTAAGCAGAGTCCCTTCCTGTGACCCATGTTTCTCGTTGGGTTGCAAGGATTGCCAAGGATGAACGGGTCGGCATGGGATCCTATGTAGAGATTTCTACAGGGATGGAAACTACTGTTTAGGGTTAGGGTTCAGGGATATTGCCCCTAATAATGTAGACTCACATGAGAAGAATAAGGAAAATGAAACCGAAACTGGGATTATGTATGGCGATTATAAGAGTTAGGGTTTCCTGAAATCAGGGCTGACCTTTTGAGTGTTCCAAGAATGACGACTCAAACAGAGAATAACTCGCAAAATGAAATGGAAATTGCGGCCACAACAAGGTGCGTGATTGCAGGCAGTCAGAGTCTTCAACTTTAAGAAAGGTGGGAAGAGGATGGAAGAAAGGAGGGAGGAGAGGACAAGAAGCAAAGGATATAATCCAATGTTTCTTATGTCTCGCGGCATGGCAGGGGGAATAGAGGACCATCGTGCCTCCTTCAAAAAGTCTGAAGGCCCAGGGCTGTATGGGGACTAGGAAAGGGACAAGAATTTTGACAACCAGCCAGATCTCCCACATCCTTTGGTGGAACCATGGTGCAGCAGCCATTGAGGACCAGACAAAGAGCTGTTGCTTCTGGTTCGGCTTTGGGTAAACCACGCGAGGGCTGTAGCCTCAAAGGGCTACTGTCACCGAAACATCAAGATCTGTGCAGGCGACTGAGAAAGTGCAGGAGACTAAAACAAGCCGCTCAAGTCTCAGATGTGCCCCTGACGCACTAAAAGCAGCGCGAATGGGAAAGTGGAAAGGAGGTGCCACAAAGGGTCCTTGTGGAGGTTCACATTGTAAGGACACAGCTTGGGGGGCCCAAATTCTACAGGGATCTTAATTGAGAGAAATGGTTTCTCAACCTGCAAGCTGAGCAAACTTCCCGAAAATCTGAGCTCTCTGCCAAAGTGATGAAGATGCCGTGCGGCAACCAAGCCGTCCTAGGATCTGCGACGGCAGAAACTACAGAAACAATGGCAGTATTGCCGTTGGCCTGTCGAAGGGACTGCTGCAGTGGCGGCGGCAGGAGTGGCAGGACAGCGGCAGCGGTGGAAGTGGTGGCAGTCAGGGTCGTAGAATCATGGGGCTAGAGTTAATTTTTAAGCAACTTAAGCCTAGGCATTCAAAACACAAAGGTGGCTGGCTTCTTCACAGCCAGAAAACAATTTGCATTCTCTGGTTACAACAGGGAGAAACAGCAGAAACAATAACAGCAATAATAGTAGTAATAATGGTATTAATGGTAATAGTAGAAGTAATAATCATGGAAATGAAAACAGTAATAATGGTAGTAGTAGCAACAATACAGAAACAGCACTTGCCACCGAGGTGCTCCACCATTGTTGCCAGGACCACACACGAGCAGCACTTGCGGCTTGTCTGAATACCTGTTCTGTTTTGAGGGTTTAAGGTTTCGGGCTTAGGGGTGAGGACAGCAACAATCCGAAGAATAGTCCTGATGCGAGATGAAGACATGAGAGCAGCAATCAGCATCCTTATGAACCCTGAACCCTAAACTATAAACCCTACCAGCCTAAACCCTCAACCCTAAATAGTAGTTTCCATTTTAATTTCCCATTATCCCATTTCAACCCCTGTATAAACCCTTTGACCCCTTGCAGTAAAGTCAACCTACTTGCACTTCCAACTCCTACGAACGCCTGAAACAGCCAGTACTGCAAGGCGCACTGCTCAAGCGGAAAAGCCGCGGCCACAGCGCAGGCAACAGAGAGTCCTGTACGAAGACGTTGGTATAGGGGCAGGGGTGATAGTTAAGGCAAAGATATTACGTCTACAAGGCAACATCCCATCTACGCTGGCTCATGAACCGGGCGCTCTCAGAAAGTCTTGCTCAGAACCGTCTTAAGCCTCTAGCTTTGTTTCTTCGCTTTTTGCCTGCCACGTGCTTCCGTATCCATTTTGCTGCTCCAGTGAATGCTTGATGCAGTCTGGGGCTAGGCTGGTCGCTAGGCGGAGCCAGTCATCCGAAATCACAGCCACAGGCCTGGACCTCCGCCAGACAAAGCGCTCATCTGATAGACTGGCGTGACGCAACTCTAGGGTTGAAGTGGCTGTCCTGCTTGCATAGGCCCAGGTGTTGCGAAAATTCTGGGCCTGACTCGTCTCCAATGCTTGGTCTACAGCCACTCGCTGCTGCGCAGAGCTCAGACCTGCTGCACGTCCCAGCAACAGGAGATCCAGAGCCTGTTGCCAGGCCCAGCTTCGCCTGCAAACGTCCACCAGGCAGTTCATCAGCTCGCAACTTGGAAAGACTTTGGCTTGCCGCATGTCGCATAGAAGCAGAAGACCAGTCTCCCAGGACTGGCTGACAGCACAGGCAGCGGAGGCCGTCCCATACGTCACCAGTGTCCTCTCACAGGACAAGTGGGAGAAACGGGTCAGCAGGAAAAGTGCAGCCTCCCACTGCTGGCCCTTTTCGCAGGCACTCATGGCGCTGTTCAGAGAAGTACTCTGGGGCTGAACGACCAGGCAAAGGCTCTCCAAGAGGTCAAGTGCCCTTTCCCAAAGCCCCCGACGCTCGCAGGCATGGATGGCAGCATTGTAAGTTATCACGTTTGGCTTGGGAGCCTCCACCATGTCGCGCATGCACACTAGTAGCCAGAGCGACCTACAGCCCCAGAGAGGCGGAAGAGAACAAACAGTACAACTACGGATTCTCTTGGTAGTGAATAACCAGAACCCTTATATACTGGTGGTTATTAATACGGAAAAATGGAATGGAACCCTATGGCAATCTTTATATACACCCAAAAACATTAATTTTTCTTCCTTATTCCTCCATTCCTTACGAAAACAATCAGTAAGCCCTAACCCCTAAACCCGAAGATAATCCCAGCTTCCATTTCGTCTTCCGTTTCATTTTCCATGTCAAACCCTGAGGGTCCAAGTATTGAATAATCATATACTTACCCAAAAAACCTGAACCATAATTGCTATTACTAAAACCCCAAGTACGTAATTATTGGGTACATTGACCCTTAGGGCCTTAGGGAAGGGTCTCAGCCCTAAACCCGGAACGCTAAACCCTAAACTCCAAAACCTGAACCCAAAAAAACCTAAACCCTAAACTCTAAACTCCAAACCCTAAACCCTAAACTCCAAACCCTAAACCCTTAAAACCATATAGTCCCCCTTACGTAGATAGAATATGGGGTATATGGGGTTCTTATTATAATATCCCCAAAGCCATATTCTATCTACTTAAGGGGGACTATAGGTCTAAACGAAATCCGAAGGCCATGGCCACCGCGAGGCTCGGGCACACGTGGAGATGACCGCGTTGTACACCGCTGCATCCAAAGGCCGGGCCTCGAACTCCTGTGGTTTAAGGGTTTAAGGGTTTAGGGTTTAAGGGTTTAGGGTTTAGGGTTTAAGGGTTTAAGGGTTTAGAGTTTAAGGGTTTTGGGTTTAGGGTTTAGGGTTGGGGATTAGGGGTTAGGGCTTAGGGATTAGGGTGAAAGGGTTTAGGGATTAGGATTTAGGTTGAAGTTTGGGGTCTGGAGAGTTTAGGCTCAGGGTTAAGGGTTTCGTGTTGGAGGAAGGCCCGGTAAGCTATTGCTGCTGAGTGCATTGTGGGTCCCAAATTGTGGGTTGATATGTGGCTTCCCAAAAATTAAGGTACCTTTTTGCTTGGGTCCGTATAACAAGGATTGGAGTATTTTGGGGTCTGCACTGGGCCCCATATGGGATGATAGGGTCACATGATAAAGCAGGAGTTGCTATAAAACCCCAAAGCCGGATATTAGGACAACCACAAAATGATGTTAACTGGACAAGAGCTATAGTCTAAACTGATAGTATCCTGCTTAGTAACCCCTATAGAAATCCCCTATGTAATGCCCTGCATAACCCCACTTCAAGGAGTTTAGACTATAGCTTACATGTCCAGATAATGAATCTTTGAAACCTAAACCACAGATCTCAGATCCCTAAATCCGAAACCCCAGATTTGCCCAAGACTCTGCATCTCGCAGTACTGCCAAAGACTCTTGCCAACGCTGAGATCCCAAGACCTGCATGGGGGTTTCCAAAAAACTGGGGTCCCTTTGGGGTGTTCAGCGTTTAGGGATTTCGGGTTTCGGGATTTAGTGTTTAGGTTTGGGTTTTAGGGTTTGGGGTGTAGGGCCCCCTATATTGAGGAGTGTAGTAGATTGGGGCCTAGAATGGGTACCCCTATTGATGGAAACTCCCTTTCCTCCCAAATTGAAACCGAAGCAAAGTGAGGGACCTCAAGCATTTGTTTTGACAACTTTTGGATAGGGGCGCAAGGGGAGGGCATCCTTAGGCTTCGGGAATATGAAGGCTCACTTCGAGATCCCTTTCTGAGCCCTCTATATTGACCTTAGACCATAGGCCACACACCCTACGCCTGAATTAAAGACTCAAAGCCAAAAAACTCAAAATTGAATTGAATACTCTTGACAATGTGGTAGGATTGGGGTCTCTGTGAACGTCATC